GACTGTTAACATTTCTGAGCTCTGTCAATAGTGGAATGTACTATATTAACACGACAAACCTGCATCTATTACTCAACCAGCTTCATCTCTTATTCCACGGCTTTACCTTACCACTCAGTCAAGAGTCGAGGGTCAATGTATGCACAAATATAGAAATTTTGTAAATAACTAACAAACAGAAAATTTATGTGTGATAATATACAAGACAATTGTTGCTTCTCACAGCCAGGAACCGTCTTTGAGACACTAAGACTAATGACATGAACCTTTTGCATGTGTGATAATATACAAGACAATTGTTGCTTCTCACAGCCAGGAACCGTCTTTGAGACACTAAGACTAATGACATGAACCTTTTGCATGTGGGGTCTTGAAAACCTCTAGAGTCCAAATCCAGTCAAGTTAGACGAGAGTTTATAGGTGACCTTTGACATTGTTTTACTCAGACACACTAATTTGATATCACTGCATTGGACATGATGTGAGCTTGTAAGTAATATCCACTGTATATATTCTTGTTTTAGCTCTACCAAGTTAAACACAAGCATAAAAGAGGATAGAACTGACAGTGATAAATCTCAGGGAAAGGATGAGAAAGAAAAAGATAGAAAGGAGAAAGAGCCAAAGCCATCAAAAGATGATAATCTACGGTATAAAGAGGAGAAAAATTCAAAAGATGATCGAGATGATGATCGCAAAGAACAAGAAGATGGTAGTAAAAATCACAGCCGTCACAGAGAAAAAGATCGGGATGCGCGAGATGGAAGTGCTACGTCTACGTCCAGTCACAGTTCCAGCAAATCTTCAAGAAAACCTGAATATTCCCCAAGAAAAGAAGAGTCTGAGAGGGGTGAGTAGTGTGATTTATTCACGTTCAATGTAAAATCTTGATAAACTTAAAAACTGGTTCAAACACAGGTTTTAAATGAAAGTAGTTTTCAAATAATTATGTATATGGAGCACTATTCAGTATGTAGAACTGTCAATAATCCTGAAATATTTTTCTCCTGACAGATACTAAACGCCGTAAAGTGGATGGGCAAATGTCATCACCTTTGTCTGCTGGAAAGGTTAGTAATAGTATGTAAAAAGTAAAAATAAAGAATTAAACAAAGTGTGATTACTCTGACAGAAGACAATCAATCAATCAAGAGAAGTGGTAATGGATGTGTCAGTTGTATGGTTTAGAAACCCCCTGTGGATTAATGGAATGGTCTTTCCATTGGAACTCTATTGGTGGAATCTTGGATTAGGGATATTGGATCACTTTACAGTAGGGGATGGAAGCTGGGATATGGAGGGGTGTAGCTTCAAGGTGTCTCATCGTAGGTAACTCTGGTAGCCAAAGTACCCCCCCAGATCTACATAGTGAGTATACACAGCACCAAGCAGAGAAAGGGAGAGAGCGGAGGAGAAAAAAAAAGGGAAAACAAAGCAGGGTGAGGTTCAATTCCTAGTTGCAAGTTGGTTGATGGTGATTGTCCTCAACTCCACACCACACCACGGTCTCCTCCTTCACAAGTTGCTGTCAAGATTTCCACTCTTTCTCAATCCTTTAGTAGAATTTTCAAACCGTTCTACAGGTGGGTAAAGTGCAAACTCACTCACACACACATACACATATATTGATGTATTATTAGCTGCCAGTATTTGTAATGATCATTAATGTTAGACAAACTTTACTGCCAAGTATCAAGGAATTATAATTCATCTTTCCTTTTTATACAAACTGTTTGTTTCATTTTAAATTTCTTTGATTTGTTAATATTATTATTCATTCATTTCAGAATTTAGTTTTGATATTTTTTAAATGATGATAATGTGAAGATTATTACATTGTACATATTGTGGTGATTCTAATTTGCATTCGGTTTTGACAACTTAATGGTTGTTCCATTGTATGTATAAAGGAGTTGTATGAATCAAGAGTACTATGGAAAGTACTCTAAGATTAGATGAGTGGAAGTCTGTTAAAAGTTTACAGTCTCACACAAAAAATTCTGTATTTTTCATGTGATTGTTTTTTTTTAAGTTGATTATCACTCAGTTGCGATTATAATAATATGAAAAAAATCATTTGTTGATTTGTTATGAAATGCAAGTCAAATTCAACTAATTCATCGTGAGTGAATGTTTTTAGTCGTACACAGTCACTTGATGTGAAAGTACATCCACCATATTTTTGTCCATGCAAGAGTTGACCTGTAACTGATAGTTCAAACCAGGTGGTGCCATCTGAACCAATCCATGAATTTCCAAATAGTTTCAATGACAAACTCAGGAGTAGTTTGACAACATTGCAGTATGTTATTTTGACATTGATTTTGTTGGAAAACGACATGCTTTGGAAACAAATTGGAAATTAGACATTTTTTCGAACTGAGCTTGAAGAAGTACTTGACACTTTTAATGGCATTAGCTATAAAGATTTTATTCTTGAATAGGTGACTACAGAAATACTCTAGTGCACTCTGATTTAGGTGTCAGGAAAGATTGAAATTTTTCAAAAGTGGCACCCAAATTATAATACTTGTGGTAATATGCTTAGCTATTGATGTGGTGAAATATTTGCTTTAGGTTTTGACTGTACAGATGGTTTGTTTATAACTATCACTCATTATGTATATGGGTTTTGACCAATCAGGAAAACTGATACTAGTGATGTTAGGTTTTTTCCCAATCAGAAGCACTGTAGTGCGGGTTTGACCAATCAAGAGCCTTGTACTGATGGTTTGGTTGTAATTATCACAGTATTTAGGACTAATGGGTCATATCATATTTGAAAACAAATATTCATTTCTTTCTTAATTTTAAATACAGGACAGACAAGAGATTGTTATCAGTCGTGACAATAGTAAGGTAAGAATTTGAAAGTAAATAAAATGTGTTTGACTTAGAGGGGGGTTAATGGCTCCAATAATAAAAAATACCAAATAAACTAGCTGCTACTAAGATAATTTATTTACTTGACAAAGTTACAAAACAATCATAAATAAAACTGACTGATGCAAGCATACTGTAGAATACTTAATTTTCGCTAAAGGAATGTTTCATTGAAAATAAAATCAAGCGAATATACCTTTTTTTCTGTTTTACATTCAACTCATCAAAAATCTAAATGGCTAAAAGTGTTTTCAGCGAAAATTATTATTAGTATACTGTAAATGATTTACTATCAAAAACATTTTAACAATTTTCAGGTGAACCTGTGCAAGAAGTTACCATCCTTTGTTAGTTCCCGTTCGGACAAAGTCCGAAAACGGGGACTATTAATTTGGGTTCGTTCCGCCCGTTCGTACGTACGTACGTCCAGAGCTACATCTCGGACACCCATTGACGAATTTCATTCAAACTTTACATGAAGACAATACATAATGTCTTACATATGCGCGTCAAGTTACTTTACTTTATTTTGGATGTAAAATTGACAATTTCTGATACCTAAACGTGTCTGCAGCATTTTCTCGGAGATTGCTGGGCCGATTCAGATCAAAGTTGGTATGATGATCATACATATTGGGTTGTAGGTGCACGTCATTTTTTTTTTGATTCGAACAAATTTGGCCGACTTGCGGCCATCTTGTTTTTCTTGGTACCCATGCTACTTTCTCTTGAATGCAATGATACATCAACATGAACATTATTTTTATAATTTGATTCAATATGACTGCCCAATGTCCAATTCTCGTGTAAAAGCACTAAATCATAATTTTGTACAAATTCATCTCCTATTAATGGTTTTAATCTAATCTCAATGACTTCATCAGCATCAAATTGATATGTCAGATCACAAAATTTTGGACTGGGACTGTGTCATTAACAATGACTTGTTCATTGTGTAACATGACTGGCAGGCAAACACAGTAATTACGCTGTGTATGTCTTGCTACTACTGTCCATTCTGGCTACAGCAAGTCTGTGGGTTTGATTACAAAGTTTCATAACGTTTATGTGAAGTAAAACAGATATATTAGCATAGCTGTAATGAAAAATGTCATCACTAAATACTGCTATGGGTCAAAGTTCATGTGATTCTACTGATGACATACAGTGAATGTGACAATGCTTCACAAACCACTTTGTAAACCAAGATAATATCATTAGATGCATGTGCATTTCATGTTCAGCTTTCAGTTTGAATGCGTGATGCATCTAACAGAAACAGTACTGATTGCGTAATTGATTTTTCTTGTTTCATTTAAGAAATATCCCAAAGTTGTATATGCTGCCTTTATATGCTGCATTTCTACATGTATGTTGTCTTTATATATCACTATTGCACTCAATATCGAGTGGGCTGCTTAATTTCTGAATTGTTTGTTTCAGAGTAACCATAGTGACCATAGCCATGATAGTCGGAGTAGAGAAAGAGAAAGGGGACGAAGTAATGACAGGGAAAGAGACAGGGATCGGGAAAAAGAGCGCAAATCTGAAAAGAAGAGAGAATACCATGCTGATGGAGAGAAAGAAACCCATGAAGTTAAACGACGAAAGGATGATGATAGAGGTTTGTTGTGTGAATTCTGGACATCCAATATTAGGAACATAAAGTTACTCAGAATGAATTAAATAGGACTCTGAATAAAAATGCTGTGTCAAATGTTAACACAAATACAGTGTAGCAATATTGCTGTCGAAAGTGATGTCTCAAGTGTACTTGGATTTACAATTGATAAGTCTTTTAATTTTTTTTTCTAGCTTCTAGTAAATCACGTCACAGTACTGATGGGAAGGAGAAAGAGTCTGAAAAGAATCGTGAACGGGAACGAGAAAAAGAGCACCACAGAGATAAAGAGAGGGACAGAGGAAAAGACAGGGAAAGAGGAAAGTCTAAAGACAGGGATCGGGAGAAAGACAAGGACAAAACCAAAGTGAAGATTATCAAGACATCAAAATCTAGTGGTAGTAAGAAGGTAAATAATTTGAACAAATCTCAATCTCATGCTATCAAGGTAGCAATAAAATAGTGGAGTGATTGCAAAAACAAACAAATTTGTCCTATACATACACCCTTCCAACACCACGATTCTCCACGATTTCACAAAATGTTATAATTTGTTATCACATTTATTAATTGTCGAAGACTTGTAATCAACTCTTGCATACACAGTTTGTGTGGTTTCTGAAATTAACATGTCATACAAACATACAGATGAATGTTTAATTAATTAAGCCACTAGAAGAAAATGTTAGATGTACCAATTGTATTCAAACTTGTAGGAACATCTCATACAATAGATTTTCACAAAATAAATCTGCATAACCCCCCCTCCAAATATTTTGATCAAGATCTTTATAATACCAATTTGAAAGAATTGAAAAATATATAAAAATATGCAAACTGAAGTGAAAAAAAGATGATGCCAACGGAATACAGCAAGCCTTGGTATTGGGACTGCAATTTGGAAAACTTAACTCATTAACAGAGAGTCTCAGAAGTAACTGACTGACTAACTGACTAACACCTTTTCAAACTTGCTGGCAATAGCTAGTTGCCACACCCACTTCAGTTGAATGACAATGATTTCAAATAGCAGAATTGTCTATACATGCTCTTCACATTTATCAATAACGATGACATTGAAAGTAACTTTGGTCAAATCAAACCTACCTTGATATGGTGTTCATAAGCATGGTAATCAACTGGTGCCGCTAATTCTTAGTAAGACAAGTTTCAAGGTAATTTGCCAACTATCTTCCCCAATACTTCTGAGACTTGTTACAAATTGCTTGCTCTTACAGTTCTGTATCATGCATGCTACTATTTATGTGATACCAATGTGCAATCCTTCAGTGTCTGCTTTGTTGCCATGACAAACATTAAAAGATGATATACATATGATTTTTCAGGAATCCAAGGACAAGGATGGCAGAGATGAGAAAGAGTACAAGAATAAAACAAAAGACCGAGATTCTTCTCGTGATAGAGAGGGTAAAACCCGTGAAGATAAACAGTATCCTTTATCATGCAATGGGTTAATATGAAAAGTTACAAAACAAATACCAATCACCAAAGTATTGTGTTAGCATTACTGAAGGATTCCTTAACTCTAATCTATCAGCTCCAGCAGTTCACGGAAGAAAAGTCGATGAATGTAGTGTGAAATGATGTGTCCTGGTTTAACCAACAATTGTAAAGTACAACAACCTTGAAGCTACCTGGAAAGCAACCCAACCCAGCGTGGATCTCAGTTCACAGCAACCAAACCCAGCAACCAAACCCAGCATGGATCTCAATTCACAGCAAACAAACCTTGGATGGAGTGGCAAATGATCCAATACTGTTAATTTTTCTTGTTCTGCTTGCCACTTTTTACAAACTTTGTAAAGACTCATTTCATTGTCAACTTACATTGTCATCAACATGCTTGGAACATTCCTATTATAATACAATGAACCATATTTGCTCTCTTAGTAGAACACATAAACCAAAAATGTCGTTTATTGCATACTGGTTCATTAAAATAAGCACAATCACTACTAATATGGCAAATACAGTAGTTGTTCCATAAGCCCTAAGATAGTTCCAGTAATTCACAGGGAAATATGGTTTTCTTATTTATTTAATTATTCATTTTTTATCACAATGTCTGTGACACAGAGCAATGTCTCTCACAAATTACAGAATTGCTTGCAAATAGTAGCATCCCATATTTGTATATGAAAAGTATTATCAGCCAGGCTTATATGGTGTATTTTGTGCTACTTCATCTACTTTGTTTCTTATATTTACAAGTTTGTACTTTGCTGACAATTTCTATGTTTTGTTCATTACTAAGAAAATAGCAGTAGACTGTGAATATTATTTCATCACTGATTTGCAAAAAATATTGTGAACAGGGCTTTAAATTATTCACTGTTATTTTTGTTTAGTTGCTTTCTAATGTTTTATAAGTTTGGATCAGGGTCTTTGTACCATTTTAACTGAACTTTTTGCCATTGGTGACTCAGACTTGTAGAAGTCCAACTATTTCATCATATTGTTGTTCACTTCGCATATTGTGCGGAATGAATTAACCCATTGAATATCCATAAAATTTTGGACACATAGCTTAAGAAGTGTAATAATGTACATTTTTTGTCCAAAATTAACAGTTGAAAATGATTGCACAAATTTTCATATTTTTGTACTAATTTTTGTTTTGGGCGGGAAAATGAAAAGTAAAAACAGCTTTATTGCGAGGACTCTCTGTAAGGCAACTGTTCTTTTTTAATCTTTATGTACAGCATTTTGGTGAGCTTTTAGGAACTTTTTTTATGTTACATTGATAAACCATATAATATGTAAAAAAAAAAAAAAAAAAAAATATATATATATAATTATACTGTTCTGTTTTGTGGATTCTCAACACGTGTAAGAAGTGTTAAAAATATGAAACCTGCCAGGCTGTGTTATATCTCAATACAACCTGCAAAGGTTAAACCAAGTGTGGAAATTCTTTAGGAAAAACCATCAACACTATTAATGTATATATTCATGAACTGGTTGCTTTATATTGGTGTTATAGGGTGTCCACATGGAAATAACATTACAGGCAATCATGAGAGAAAGATCAACAACATGTTACATTGTAAATCATTTGTGAAGCGAGAATATTTTGCATTTGTGTACAAGTATAATAAAAAGAAAAATTTTCTTTCTTAAATTTAATTTGTTATAATTGTACTTTCTTTCTTTCCCAATTCGGTATCAATCTTT